CCCTGTCCTCCTCCTCCTCCTCCTCCTCCTCCTCCTCCTCCTCCTCCTCCTCCTCCTCCTCCCCCACCTCTTCCTCACTGTCGTCATCGTTGTCCTCGATGTTGTCATCCCTCTCCTCGTTGCCATCGTTCTCGACCTCGCTCTCATCCTTCTCCTCGTCCACCTTCTCGTTGTCGTCATCCCCTCCTCGTTGTCATCGTGCTCTACCTCCTCATCCCCATCCTCGTCGTCCACCTCCACCTCATCCTCCTCCTGCTCCTCCTCCTGCTCCTGCTCCTCCTCCTCCGCCTCCTCCTCCTCCTCCGCGTCCTCCTCCTCCTCCCCCGCGTCCTCCTCCTCATCCTCCTTTTCCTCCGCCTCCTCCTCCTCCTCATCCCCCTGCTCCTCCTATTCCTCCTCCTCCTCATCGTCCTCCTCCTCCTCGTCCTTCAGGGTCGCGTCGGGTGGTCGATCGATCCCTCGCGCGATCGCCAGCGATCAGGCCGCCCAGGAGGCCGGGCTCACGCGAGCCGATCGGCGCCCCTGGGGGGGTGAGGCATCCCTTGCCTCGCGGGCCTCCCCCCTTGGGCCCGATACGCGGCCGCGCGCTGCTCCTGGCGCCGCCGCTGCCGCCGCGCCGCAGCCGGCGCCTCGCGGCTGGAGACGGCGGCCAAGGAGCCAGCTTGGCATCGCCGAGACCGCCAGCGACGGTCCTCGGCACGCGTGGTGAAGGCAGCCTGCATGCTGGCGCCGCCAGCCGTGGCTCTATGTGGTGTGCGCCCCCGACGGAGGTGAGGCGCCCCGCGGCGAGCAAAAGCCAGCGGCGCGCATGGAGGAGGCTGCTCCTGGCGACCAGCCGCCAGGCCGCCCTGGACCACGGGCTGGTCGAGCTGGATTTCGGCGCCTGGCCAGCCACGCCCTTCGACTACGACTTCGTCGAGGGCTGGCTGCAGGAACCCGCGCGCGAGAAGTGCGAGAAGTGGGAGGCGACGGTGGTGCCCAACACGTTCAGCTACAGCGCTGAGACCTGCCCCGCAAGCCTCGAGCCAGGGACCAGCGACTACGCGACGTGGGCGGCGAAGATGGGGCCCGACACGATCAGCTACAGCACTGGAACCATGTCATGCGAGAAGGGGGGTGAAGTTGGAGCCCACCGTAACCAGCCGCAGAGACACGGCGGGATGCGAGAAGCTGGAGGCGAAGACGAAGGTCGAGCCCAACGTGACCAGCTACAGTGCAGAGAGCCCATGGGCGGAGAGGGAGGCGAAGACAGAGCCGAACTTGATCAACTACAGTGTCGAGGCGCGCGAGAAGGAGCGAGAGACGTACGAGCGAGACGGGCGAGCAGTGGCTGCTAAGTTGGCGAAGCTGGAGCCCAATATCGTTTGCTACTCCTCGTCGAGCCTCGCCGCCACGGCTGGATCAGAGAAAACGGTTTGCGAGCAGTGCGTGAAAACTGTTTGCGAGAAGTGTGAGAGCGAGCAGAGCGAGAAGGAGGAGGCGAAGATAGAGCCCGACATCACCCGCTACAGTGCTTGGATCAGGGCATGCGAGAGGCGGAAAGCGAAGCTGGAGCCCGACATCATCGCTGGCCACAGTACTGAGAACAGCGCATGCGAGAAGAGGGAGGCGAATACAGAGCCCGACACCATCAGCTGCAGCGCTGGGATCAGGGCTTGCGAAAAGGGGGAGGCGAAACTGGAGCCCGATCTCAGCATTGAGGGGCCTCCAAACGAGTCTTCGAATTTCCTTCCGACCGACCTGGTTTCTGGAGAGCCGAAGAGCAACCCCTTCGAGTCCCAGGCCGACCTCGAGCTGGAGGCAATAGTGAGCGCACCTGAGAAGGCGGACAGGACGTCCTCTCAAGAGCCCTCCCATCCAGGTGCGCAGACAGCCGCGAACATCGTCGACACGCGCGCCTGCGAGAAGGGGAACGCGAAGCTGAGCAGCTACTGCGTCAGCAGGGCCATGTGGCACGCACGCTCCCAAATCGCCAGCACATGGCTAGAAGGCGGCGAAGCGATCGAGCCCAACGCCATCAGCTACAGTGCTGGAATCCAATGGGAAGCGGAGGATATACATGGAGTGTGGGGGCCCCTTCCGAGGGTTGACCAGAAAAAGGTGGAGAAGCGATATCAAAGATATCTCCACGGTGAGGAAAGCGGCAAGTTCACGATCACAGGGTCGGACGGGAGGCCCACGTGGCCCCTCAGAGCAGATTTCGACAACATGCTGCTCCTGAGGGCCACAAGGGCGAAGGCTTCGATCAAAGGCATCAGGATACGCAGAGTGTAATTGCGCTGCGTGAGAGAGGAGTTTACATGCTGTATGAGTGAATTGCAGCGTGGTTGTTCTGTGCTGCGCTAGGGGCCCCAAGCGTTTCTGGGCTCCCGAAGCGGCACCCGCCTAGGCGAAACTCGACTGCGTCGTCGCCGAATTCTCCCGAATTCTCCTCCTCCTCCCCATCCATCATCTTATTGTTGTTGCCGTCGTCGGGCGTTCCAGGCACATCAGGCAGCATCACAAGTCAGTTCATGGCCCAGGCCTTGCGTCATCGTCGTCGTCGAGTGTCCTCCTCGTCGTCGTCGTCGTCCGCCTCCTCCTACTCCTCCTGACCACCACCACCACCACCACCACCAGCCCATGATCAGCATCATCATCAGTATCAGCATCATCACCATCAACTGCATCATCAGCAGCAACATCAGCATCAGCATCAGCATCATCATCATCATCAGCAGCATCATCGCAACCAGCATCATCATCAGCAGCAGCATCATCATCCTCACCGCCAGCATCATCAGCATCATCACCATCATCATCAGCATCATTATCATCAGCAGAACCAGCATCATAAGCAGCATCCGCATCATCATCAGCAGCAGCATCATCATAATCATACGCATGCTCAGCATCATCGTCGACGTCGCCACCCTCATCACCATATATCATCAGCATCGTCAGCATCATCAGAACCATAAGCATCATCAGCAGCATCATCATCAGCATCAGCAGCATCAGCATCATCATCAGCCTCAGCATCAGCATCATGGCCAGCCTCAGCATCAACATCGTAAGCAGCATCAGCATCAGCATCAACATCATGATCAGCGTCATCATCAGCATCAGCATCATCGTGACCGTCGTCCGCATCAGTCTCCTCCTCATCATTAACATCATCAGAAACAGCTTCATCAGCACCATCACCAGCATCAGCTTGAGAAATTAGCATCATCAGCATCATCGTCATCAGCATCATCAGCATCAGTGTCGTCATCACCAGCATCATCAGCATCATCATCATCGTCGTCCTCCTCATCAGCATCAGCATCTTCACCATCAGCGTCATGATCACCATCACCATCAGCACCATCGTCAGCATCACCAGTAGTGACATCATCATCGACATCATCAGCATCGTCAGCAGCATCATCAAAATCATCAGCAGCATCATCATCATTACCATCGTCAACATCATCGCAATCACCAGTATCAACGTCATAAGCAGCATCATCAGAATCACAATCACCATCACCATCACCAGAACCAACACCATCATACTCATCACCATCAGCATCAGCACCAGCAGCATCATCATCATCCTCATCCTCACAAACATCCTCATCCCCATCCTGATCGCCATCGACTGTATCATCATTAGCATCATCAGCATCATCTTCATCAGCAGCATCATCAGCATCCTCACCATCAGCATCATCATCCGAATCATCACCATCATCACCATCGTCAGCATCATCAGCAACAGCATCAACATCAGTATCAGCAGCATCATCAGCATCATCACCATCATGATCATCAGCAGCAGCAGCAACAACATCAGTATCATCAGCATCATCAGCATCATCACCATCATGATCATCAGCATCAGCAGCATAATCAGCATCATCATAATCATCACCATCATCTTCATCATCCTCTTCCTCATCATCATCATCATCATCGTCACCATCATCAGCGTCATCATAATCATCATCATCATGAGCGTCAGCATCATCATTAGCAGCATCAGCATCATCATCAACAACCGCAGCATCATTGTCATCATCGTCGTCATCATCATAGCCATCCTCATTATCAAAACTCATCTGCCTCCTCATCGTCATAATCCTCAGCAGTAGCATTCGCATTAGCATCAGCATCACCATCACCATCACCATCGTCGTCAACCACATCGTTGTCGTCCTCGTTGCTCATCTCCTCGTTCTCGGCGTCCCCCGACTCCGGTCCCGCTGCGCATCTGCCTTCCTCTTCCTCGTCCTCGTTGCCCCTCCCTCTCCTCGTTGCTGTCTTTCCTTCCCTCGTTGTCTTTGTCGCCGTCGTCGTCCTCCTCCCTGCCCGTCGTCCTCCTCCCTGTCCGTCGTGCAAGGCCCGCGGAGGCCCGAGTCGGGCCTCCGGCTGCCGAGCACGACGAACAAGCAGCTCGGACCTCGATCTTCGAGACGACCGACGACGACAACGACCGACGACGACCGACGACGACGATCTTGATGACGACAACGACGAAGACGACGACGACGACGACGACGACGACGACGACGACGACGATCTCGACGACGACGACGACGATGAAAACAACGAAAACGACGACAACGACGCTCTGGATGACGACGACGACGACGACGGCGACGCTGACCTCGACGACGATCTCGACGACGACGACGACGACGACGACGACGAGGAGAGGGTAGGATCGGATGGGAGCTGTAGGCGGTGCAGGGTTGGAGCGCAGGCGGGGCGGGCGGGGGAGGAGCAGCGGGCGGGGCGGCAGGCGGCGCCAGCCCACGCCGCGGGGGGGAGGCCCGAGAGGGAGCCCGCGGGGCACAGGGACGGGCCTCCTCGTCCTCCTCCTCCTCGTCCTCCTCGTCCTCCTCCTCCTCCTCCTCCTCCTCCTCCTCCTCATCCTCCTTCTCCTCCTCCTCCTCCTCCTCCTCCTCCTCCTCCTCCTCTCCTCCTCCTCCTCCTCCTTCCTCCTCCTCCTTCCTCCTCCTCCTCCTCCTCCTCCTCCTCCTCCTCCTCCTCCTCCTCCTCCTCCTCCTCTCCTCCTCCCCCTCCTTCTTCCTCCTCCCCCTCCTTCTCCTCGTCATCCCTCCTCCTCCTCCTCTCGTCCTCCTCTTCTCCTCCTCCCTCCTCCTCCTCCTCCTCCTCTCCTCCTCCTCCTCCACTCCTTCCTCCTCCTCCTCCTCTATTCTCCCCCCCCCCCCAGGACCGCCCAAGGTGCGTGCGGCAGGCTCGTGCCGTGGCGTCGCGGCGGCGACCCCAACGCGGGCGTGGAAGCTGGGACCGAGCAGGAGAAGGGGAGGGAAAAGAGGAGGAGGAGGAGGAGGAGGAAGAGGAGGAGGAGGGGGGGGAAAGGAAGGAGAATAGGAGGAGGAGGAGGGAGGAGGAGGAGGAGGAGCAGGAGGGGGGGAGGAGGGGGAGGAGGACGAGGAGAAGGTGGCGGAGGAGGAGGATGAGGAGGAGGAGGAGAGAGGAGGAGAGGAGGGAGGAGGGGGGGAAAGGAAGGAGAATAGGAGGAGGAGGAGGAGGAGGAGAGGAGGAGAGAGGAGGAGGAGGAGGGGAGGGAGGAGGGGGAGAGGACGAGGAGAAGGTGGCGGAGGAGGGGAGGAGGGGGAGGAGGAGGGGGAGGATGAGGATGGGGAGGAGGACGAGGAGGAGGAAGAGGAGGAGGAAGAGGAACGAACAAACACGTGTTGACAAAGGCTTGTTCGGTCCGAGCTCCTCCAGTGGCCCAGAGTGCGCCACCGTGGAACGAACGATCCGGCGCTCGAGCTGCCGCCGACGCTGCCGGGCTGCACCATCTGCACGGCGCCACGGAAACCAGCGCCGGGGCCGCCACAGCACGAGCCTGCCGTCGGCCTCGTCCGCCGTCGTGCCTCCTCTCCGCCCCCGTCGGCCTCCGCCTGTCTCCATCGGCAGCCAGCGCGGGGGTCCTCTCGGCAGGAACCTGCCGTCGGCCTCGTCCGCCTTCGTGCCTCCTTCCTCCTCCCTCGTCCGTCCTCCCCCTGTCTCCGTCGACCTCGCCGCCCCACTGCGGCCGTAAGAAACACTGGCCCACTGCGGGTTCTTGTTGTCGCAGTCGACGCAGACCTGGTAGCAGCGATGGAGGTGCGAAGAAGCAGAAGATGCGAGGCGCTGAATATCCGAAAAGGGATGAGCGATCATTCTGCGGACGGCTGATGGAATTGGCAAGACGGACGCCAGAGACTGAGAGGGGGGTACGACTACCCGAGACGTGCCCAACCCTCTCTAAACGCGAGCGCGAGGCGACGACCAACAGCAACGATATAAAATAATACTTTGAGAGACCAGCAGCACTCTTGAATGCGTCGCCAAGCAACGCCGAACCACGCGCACCGCCCCCAATGCGCGCGCGCACTCTCGCAGAGAAGAGAGTGCGGTGGCAACGCATGGGAGCCTCCCATACCGTCTTGCCGGCCCTTGCGAATCGACGCTCAATCGACGCTAGATCGACGCTAAATCGATGCTAAATCGACGCTACATCGACGCTAATCGACGCTAGCCGACGCCAAATCGGCGCTATCTCGTCGACTCCTAGACGCTAATCGACGTGAACCGACGCTGGAGACGGAATTAAGAGGGTACACCAGGCTCCCATGATTTGCGACCGAAGCCCCCCATGCGCGCGCGCACTCTCGCGGAGGAGGGTGGGGAGGAGCGTGAATCCGTGTCGGGAAGGGACGAAGAGGAGGGAAAGGGAGCGAGGCCTGGCAGAGAGAAGGGGAAGGAGAGGAGGAAGAAGAAGAGGAGGGAAAGGGAAGAGGAGGAGAAAAAAGAAACAAGATGGGGAGGAGCGTGATCCGCGAATGCGTGGCCTGAAAGGGAGGGAGGCTACTTCAACTCATGTCTTCCGCGGGTCTGATGGACCAGCGCTGATGCAAAGGAGTGTCCGGATTCCGCGCGTACGCGGCCTCAAAGGAGGAGGTGGCAGCGAGCAAACGAAGTCCAGCCTTGATGTGCATCAGACACCACTCCGCTGAACCGCACAGGGGCCTTTTGAAAAGGCAATGGTTGCACAGGTGGCCGCCCCCCCAAAGAAACGCGAGGTCGAGTCTGGATCTGCGTAAGACACCACACCGCTGGACCTCCTTGGAGCCCACATGCCACTATGTGAAACTGTGTATATGGGCAGATTCACATACGTCTGCATGCATACATCAGGATATGTAACAACACCTGAATATGCACGTACATGTACAAATACATACAGCTGTACCTATGAATATACATAACGATAGACATGCCCATGTACGAATACGTAAAATACATGGACCCGCGCACATATCCAGATATGTCTACGCATACACGTCAAAACAGATTATGTACCCACACACAAACACACTTACGCATGTGCACGCTGTGTTTGAGGGAAAGGAGAGGGAGGGAGGAAGGGAGGGAGGATGGAGATAAGAAGCGAATAGAGAGAGAGGGAGCGAGATAGGGAGCCATGTCTACTGACACAGTCGAATACATATAAATGCTCATACAAATAGATGCAGATACACATGAAACGGTATGAAAGGCGAGAGGGGAAAACATCTATATGTAGAATAACGAATGGAAAGATGAATTGACCGAGGACCAAAAAAGAAGAGACGATAACAGAAGAGGAGAGGAGGCATGAGGAGAGAAGAGGAGATAAGAGAAGAAAAGAGAAGAGAGGGGGAGAGAGAGAGAGAGAGAAATAAAGAAGGTAAGTGAAGGGAGAGGGGAGAGATCAATATAAACAAAAAGAGAGAGAGAGAGCACGGAGGGGGGAGAACAATGCTGCGAGCCGCAAGGCCAGACGAGGAGGGAGGAGGGAGGAGAAAGAAGAGGAGAAGCAGAAGGGAATGGGAAGAAAGATGGTGGGCCCTCCTCCCTGTCCTCCTCCTCCTCCTGCTCATCATCTTCCTCGCCAGCATGCTCCGGATCATACTGCTCCTCCCAAAGCCTCCGCCCTTTCTCTCATCCCTCACCCTCCTCCCATCCTCCTCGACCTCGTCTTCGTCCTCCATAATCCTACATCATTCTCCTCTCCTCGTCCACTTCCATCCTCCCTCCTCCACCCTTGGATTCTCCCAAGTAGCTTGTCCGTCCCCAAGGCCGGCGAGACCTTGTTCCCTGGAAGCGCGCGGATGCTGCGTTCCACCTCCTTCGGCATCTGGTCCGCCATGCCTGCAGAGACGGAGGATATGGAGGGGAAACAGGGGGACGGGGGGGGGAGGGAGGGGATGAGGGGGAAGGGAGAAGGGAGGAGGTGAGCAGAGCGAGGAAGGATAGATCAAGGAGGGGGGAGGACGGAGGAGGTACCTGTCCCTCCTCCGAGCGTCTGCTCTGGGGCACTTCTGGCCTCCCCTCGTCTTCCCCGACCCCAAACCCTCTCCGCAGGAGGGGGCCCGGCCTGGCAGGTATCGCGGGGCACGGCGGGCGGGCTACCGCCGATGATCCTCAGCGCGCGTGTCAGCGCCAACGTGCGCTTGTCCACCGGAGCCCTCCAATACGAGGTAGGCGGCTCACGCTGAGGGCCGCGAGGAACAACACCCGGCGTGAACACGCTTTCTCTGAGTGCTGTGGGGGCTCGACCACGAGAGACCTTCCACAAGGAACCCAACCCTGGAAGCCCAGGACGTCCATTGATTTTTGGTATGAGAACGTCACAGCTTCCATCGCAAAACCATCGAAACTCAAGTAACATAGGGCACCCTGGAGGCAAGCAGGGTGTTTCTTGGCGTTGTCCACACTGCATGCTTATGCCATTTTCTGTTCCTCGAAGCACAGGTTGCGCGCCTTCGGCGGAGCTGGACGGGGTAGTAACACACACACACACACACACACACACACTCGGCCAACACGCGTCCAGAAGATCATCGACCTCGGGCGGCGGGGAGCCCCGGGGGGAAATGCAGAGGGGATGGGCCTCCTCGGAAGGCTCGGAAGGCCTCTGGCCTTTCAGAAGTTCTCTTGGCCTCCTCCGAGGACGGAGGCGGCTTCTCAGAAGGCCCGAGGGCTCCTGAGGAGGCCCGCCGCCATTTGCAAAGGCCTCCCGAATGGGGTCCGCGCAGATGGGGTCGGAAGGTCGCGCCGCAGCGGGGATGCGAAAGCGACGCTGGCGATGCCCTCGGCGCCGGCGCGGAGAGAACTCGGGCTCCGCACCGAGCCGCGTCGCCGATGCAGCGGCGATGCGGCGCGATCCTCCGACCCCACCCTGCCCGGACCTGCTCTTGAGAGGCCTACAGATGCTGAGCAGGCCTGCCCTCCGCCGATGTGCTCTTCGTTCCAGCCGCGGCCCCCGACTCGGCCACACGCAAGAGTGACCCTGGGTAAGAGCGACCTTTGGTGCGCGGCTTCTTGGGGGCCGCGGGGGACCAAACCCGGGCGCGCAAGCCGCTGCTCCTGCTTCGTTTTCAGCCACCTGGGGACCCACCTGTGCCCGCACCAAAAGGTCACTCCGGCGAAAGGTCACTCTTACGTCTGGTCGACTGACGCTCCCCGACCCCTTCCCCCGGGCGTGGCGCTCCGTCCCAGGGCCCGGGTCTGCTGGTCCCGGGGCCCGATATCACTGGCCTTTCGGAGGCCGACGTCGAGGCACGGCGCTCGGGGGGGAAGAAAACCACATCGTAGGAGGTCTGGGCCTCTCTCTCTCTTTCTGCCTCTCCCCCCCCACTTCTCGGGGACGTCCAAGAGGGGGGCGTCCAAGAGGGGGGGGGGGGGGGGGGGGGGGGCCAAATCATGGGCCCGCGGCACGTGCGCGGCCGAGGGGAGGGGGGGCCGGGGGCGTGCTGGAACAAGAAGAGGCGCCATGAGGTCCGGGGAGACATCGTGGCCCCCGCCATGACATCCATCCCCCTCCTGGTCATCACCCCCCTCTTTTGCCGCCCCCGAACTTCCCCCCGGAGCTCGCCGCCGAACCGGGCGGCGGGGAGGCCCGGTGCGCGGGGGGTGAGGCAGGGGCACGGCGCCTGCCTTTGGAGCCTGAGCAGACGCCCGCCCAGGCGGCGGAGGCACCTCGGAGGGAGGCGGCCGGCGGGCGGGCTGCCGGCGGTGGGCGGGCCCGTGGCGCGTTGGAGGAGGAGGAGGAGGAGGAGGAGGAGGAGGAGGAGGAGGAGGAGGCGGAGGAGGGAGGAGGAGGAGGAGGAGGAGGGGGGAGGGGAGGAGGAGGAGGAGGAGGAGGAGGAGAGGAGGAGGAGGAGGAGGAGGAGGAGGAGGAGGAGGAGGAGGAGAGGAGGGGAGTGGGAGGAGGGAGGAGGAGGGGGAGGGGGAGAGGAGGAGGGGAGGAGGAGGAGGAGGAGGTAGGAGGAGGGAGAGGAGGAGGAGGGGAGGTGGAGGAGGAGGAGGAGGAGGAGGAGGAGGAGGAGGAGGGGGAGGGGAGGGGGAAGGAACAAAGGGGGAGGAGGGAGGGAGGAGGAGGAGGAGGAGGAGGAGGAGGAGGAGGAGGAGGAGGAGGAGGTGGAGGAGGAGGAGGAGGGGAGGGGAGGGAAGGGGAGGAGGAGAGGAGGAGGAGGAGGGAGGAGGAGGAGGAGAGGAGGAGGAGGAGGAGGAGGAGGAGGAGGAGGGAGGAGGAGGAGGAGGAGGAGGAGGTGGAGGAGGAGGAGGAGGGAGGAGGAGGAGGAGGAGGGGAGGAGGAGGAGGAGGAGGAGGGGGAGGAGGAGGAGGAGGAGGAGGGAGGAGGAGGAGGAGAGGAGGAGGAGGAGGAGGGGAGGAGGAGGAGGAGGAGGGAGAGGAGGAGGAGGAGGGGGAGGAGGGAGGAGGAGGAGGAGGAGGATAGGAGGAGGAGGAGGAGGAGGAGGAGGAGGAGGAGGAGGAGGAGGAGGAGGGGGAGAGGGAGGAGGAGGAGGAGGAGGAGGAGGACTGACTGACTGACGAGGCGTGCGGAGACCAGGTCAAGCCTGGGCGCAGGAACAAAATGAGACATGCGGGAACCCGGGGAGCAACGGTGCGAGGGTCACTAACGGCGCAACGCCGGGCAGTCCCCACTCGCACCGTGCCCCCCGTTGGGAAGACAAAACCCACGCCTGTACTTCCGCCCACTATGCAGGTGCCTCGGGCTCGGGCGCCTGCTGCGGCATCGCAGGCTCCCCGAGCTCCGAGAAGACGAGCGGCTCGAGGGGCTCGCCCGTCTAGGGTCAGGCCCCTTCGAGCCTGCTCGAGCATCGACGCGATGGCTCCGTCCCCCCCACAACCAGCGCCCGCCGACCCTAGCCAGGGCGCAGGAACAAAATCAGACATGCGGGAACTTACCTCCGCTCTTGGGGGGCAATCCCCTGGACAGCCGTGACAGAACCTCTTTCCCTGCTTTGGAGGGGGGGCTGTCCGTCTTGCAGGGCTTCGACAAACTCTGCGCATTCACCGTCGCATGAGCGCCGCAATGCAAACAGTAAAGAACTCCTCTCAAAACTTGCAATCGATGACTCCTGGCACACCTGGGGTACAAGGGGTGGGCCAGAGGGTCGGAGGAGAGGTGGGAAGGCCCCGCACACGGGCCAGGGAAAAAGTCTTGGACCTTCCCCCTCAACAAGAACTTACGCGAGCAAATCTGACACTGGAGGCAAGACCCTCGGCGCGTCGGCTCGTGGCCCGCCGCCCTCAGACGGCCTTTGCGCACCAGAAAGGACGGCAAGGGTGCAGGCCTTGGGGGGGGGCGTCCGAGCCTGTCCGAGACACGCCGAGGGTTCTCCGAAACAACCTCCTTATGGACCGCCAGCAGGCGGTCCAGAGTGTGACTAGTGATACGATCAACGAATCTAGTAGTTTCAACCTGCTCATCAGTGGGGGCAGCCCTTTGGGCCGCCCAGCCCGCGAAGAAATCAGCACAAAAGTTCAAAAAATACTCAACCTCGCCGATAGAATAGTGGGCCCTCTGTTGGGCCGAGGCGTGGCTCTTGGTCCAGATGACCTCGACCTGACCAGGGCCCCGATCGTCGATCGCATTCCAGATCAGAGCCCAGAGATCGAGCATCGAGCTGTTCGCCATCACCTGAGCCCGTGGCTGCCTGACCCCTTTGACCAGGGGCAAGTAATCAGAATAACAGACAATATCACCACTCGTTCGCAGAAGGACAGTCAGGAAGGCATACAACTCAGACCTCGGACTGGATTGTTCAGGAGTAGGTAAGGTACCACAGAGGACCGTAGATAACTGCAAAGATAGCCCATCAGGATCACCCAAGCACACAATAGACCATGCACAACGTCGTAGTCTCTTATCCTTGGCGTATACACCTCCAGAGCCATCAAGGCCCCAAATACCACCAAGAACACGATGTTGGACTCGTAGGGGACCCCAAGCCCACAGGAGCTCCTTCGGGGACGGCAGGTGACCACAGGTAGCGTCCCAGCTAGGAAGCCCACGAGTGAAGAAGGCACTCTGAGGGTCAGCCCCAAGAGCCTCAGGAACCAAATATTCACTTGCAGCAACGGCAGGGTCAGGTAGTACGAATTGCACGGGCACTGCCAAGCCCGATGCAACGGAGTTTCTTTATCATCTCCACATCGGAAGCACCGGCCTGATGTACGGTAGCCAGCGTCTTGTAGCCGACTTTCAGGCCAGCATCCTCCAACAACAATGGTGGTCAAGAGTGCAGCATTCTTGAAATCACCTTCATCCAGCAGCTTCTTGTGCTTGGAACGAAAAACAGAGAAGTCAGCACCAGAAGAGAGACCTTGCCCACACCAATGCTGACTAGCGGCAGACCAAATTGCGGCAGAGCAACTCTCTCGGACACAGGAGGTGACATGATACCGAAAATCAATACGATCCATTCTTAGGGGAGCTCTGCCTTCCACTATCCACTCATCGATATGGGAGGGTTGCCATCCTAGGTCCAAGACAGTAGCATACAAAGCAGCGATGGGACCGCGAACGAACCGCCATCGGTCAGACGCACGAGCACGGCCCACTGTCGCATGCAATTGAGACCAGACCTTTCGAGCTCCACCGCGCAAACCTTCAGACAAGGATGACCACACTTCAGAGATTAGGGTAAGTTGTTCAACACGTAGCCTATAGACAGGGTCATCCTTAGTATCATGCAATACTCGCAATACGCTGGTAGTACATGCCCCCGACGACCAGAACCCCGAACAGGAAGCCGCGGAGCCTCTAAACTGCTTCAATATTCCAGGTGGAAGTCCAGACATAGCATGCCCCCAAGAGCCCACTGAGAGGATGCCAGGCTTGAAGACCTTACGCGAAGCTCCACACAACCTTGCAAGGTAGGACAGCTTACGACCACGTCGGAATGCGATAGCACGTCTCTCATATGTTTTCCACGCAGTGCGCCTTCGGCCAGCTGAGGTGACTGTGCCCAGGTCCTTCACACTGGGCGAGAAGGTGATGGAAACTCCATGCTTCTTAAACTCTTCTTGAAGGAGTCGCTGCAACTCCATAGACGAGGCAACTGCAAGAGACTTCGGGCTGACCACACAGCCAAGACCTGATATATCATGCTGGAAAGCCGCCGCCGCAGGCGGCAAATAACGACGAATAAACTCTCGAGTACCCTGCAAGTACTGGGTGATGTCGTCAACATAAGACCTAATGGGAACACGGACCTGTGGGAGATCACCAAGGCCCTGTGGAACCCTGCTATGGGCCTTCTCCAGTACCCCATACAAGTAGCACTTCACCCAGGGCATACTCTGACTACAACCCGCCAGGATAGACTCCCCAGCCTCAATAACCCGAGAAAGGTTGCCAGAAACCTCCAACAGCCTCGGAGCAGTGTGGATGAGGAGCCCCAAGTACAGGAGGTGCCCAGGGTACCCACGGTTGGTGGCAAAGTGGAGGAGCTTGCAGGGGCTCACGGAGTCGAAGAACTTCTCGAGGTCCCAATGGAGCGCACAAGATTCGAACCCACATGCACGGGCCACTTCATGGGCCAGTTCACGAAATAAAGCAGCCTTAAGAGCAGAGGACCCTTTGACAGCAGAGTCCCAGAAATCCAGATGCTCTTTATTCCAATCATCGATATCAAAGCCGCGGGCTTTGCAGTAGATTCTGTAAAGACTAGGGCACTTGACAATGGCACGCTCATCACAAATCGACTTAGGCAGCATGGCCATGAGGCAGACATAGCACTGAGGAGGAAAGCTCAAAGTTTGCTCAACTTGACGCATGATACCTGTGAACACTTCGAGGGAGTCGATGGGAGCGGAGAGCAAACTGCGTGGCGCCAGCATGTCGACGCCTAGCGACGTGTGTGGCTTGAAACATGTACAGGCCTTAGCAATGTCATGCACTTCAAGCGGGTCCAAATCTTGCAGAACGACCAATGCTTGCGAACGAAGCTCACGAAGGCCTGCCTCCAGACACACACGCTGTTCAGAGTTTGGGGTCCACCATTTACTCCACTTCCGTTCCCGAAAACTCATCATCGAGGTAGGGGTGTCCACGATACCCTCAGGAGCCAAGAAATACTCAACGCAAACTTTCTCTTCAGCTTTCAAATAGCGGTGAACGGGACTAGCACCTCTGGGAAGGGATGACTGCAACCAAGTGCGCATGCTGCCCCTGGCCTTGGCATGTGCGAGAGACCATGCACGAGTACACACAACACCTGCAGCCTCAACGAGTTCTTCCAATCTATGACACAAGTAGGGAGGTTGGTTCAAGGAATCCTTCCACGACACAGCTGCTTGAGAACTCGCAAGAGGCTCGATGTGAGAAAAAATGTGGCACGCCAAATCGGCCAAGACGCGCCTGTGCTGCATCGCGGCCTGGGAATACGGATCTTTTCGAGTCAACTTCATCAACTCATACAGGCGACTGGAAACAAGAGACCAATATGACAGGTCAGGGTTCTTGAAACTCTGCGCCTGCACGTTGCGGGTCATCGGGGACGAGTCCTTACGCTTCAGCATACAACCCCTGCCTAAGTAACGGTGCGGGTCAGTGACAATGGCACATGCACGAGACAGACCACGGAGCTCCATTGCTCTAGACCAGATAGAGTACTGTATCCCAAGACTCCGAGACAAAC